TTGCCCAGAGACTACACTCCAGCCTTTAAATGCAAAGCAACATTTGTGCCCCAAAAATGCAGCCATTACCGTGACGGCGCACAACCTGCACTAGATGCACCGCACAAAAACTCCAGCTCCCACGAGAAATTTCTCCCAAAATCTGCTCAAGAGCCTCCCAATGCCAAGATGCCTCCACTGCTCACGGCAGGCTGTGGCCAGGGCTTTTGACTCGTGGACAGGGATGAGGTCGTTCCTTCTTTTGTTGGTTTGTTTGCTGGATTGTGATTTGAGGTTTTTTTATTGTAAGTTTGGGTTTTTTTTTCCCCAGCAGGGAAAAAGCTGCTCCAGCAGCAGCGGCTGGCGATGAGGCTGCTGTCTTGCAATGGAGTTTCACATCCTTGCTTTAATACAGACTTCCTACACTACCATGTGCAATTGCATTCCGCGCCTCAGTCACCCTCCCTACGCTGCAGAGATGTCAGGAAGAAAAATATCTATTACATATTAGTTACATACATTATAGGTTAGGGGTGGACCTGCTGAAAAGTAGTTCTGAGGAGAAGGATCTAGGGGTCCTGAAATTATCCATGACCCAGCAACGTGCCCTTGTGGAAAAAGGCCAGTGGAATCCTGGGCTGCGTGGGGAAGAGTGTGGCCGGTAGGTCGAGGGAGGTCATTCTCCCCCTCTACTCGGCACTGGTGAGGCCACAACTGCAATGCTGTGTCCAGTTTTGGGCTCCCCAGTTCAAGAGGGACGGGGAGCTGCTGGAGCGGGTCCAGCGAAGGACAACTAACATGACTGAGGGATTGGAGCATCTTCTAGATGAGGCTGAGAGAGCTGGGACTCTTTAGCCTGGAGAAGAGAAGGCTGAAAGGAGACCTCATTATGGCATACAAGTATCTAAAGGGTGGGTTGAAGGAGGATGGAGCCAGACTCTTTTTAATGGTTCCCAGTGACAGGACGAGGGGCAATGGGCACAAGCTGGAACATAGGAAGTTCCATTCAAATACACAGAAAAACTTCTTTACAGTTCGGGTGACAGAGCACTGGCAGAGGCTGCCCAGGGGGGGGGTGGAGTCCCCTTCTCTGGAGATGTTCAAGACCCGCCTGGATGCAGTCCTGAGTGATGTGCTCTGGGCAATCCTGCTTTGGCAGGGGAGTTGGGCTAGATGATCTCTAGAGGTCCCTTCCAACTCTGAAAATTCTGTGATATTATGACACTCTCAGTTACTACAGTAATAAGGACTTGCTGAAAAGCTCAGTTTATGACCAACAGTAAGTAGCAGAAGCGTCCATGATGTAAGTGGACACATGCATCCCCAGCAATACAATTTCAGGAGGAACAACGGTTTAGCCGTAGCAGCAGAGCTGACGTACCTCTCTGCATCCTCCCCTGCTCGGACCTTTGGTAGTTTCTTGATACCCAAACGCCAGGAACCAAGCTTTGGCAACTAATGACATCCAAACTAGAGCAACATCCAGTGCCGCAGCACCTCTCCCTGCTACGCAGATGGACCTTAGCATGGGAAGCATCTGATGAGACAGTGTTTGAAATTGTTCTGCAGAACTACAGAGTACCTCTGGTGACAAGGAAAACTTCTTCAGTTATAGAGAATTTGAACCAGATCACTTAGTAATACAAGCGTTTTAACAGCGACAGTAAAGCAACAGTTAAACAAGGTTTTGGTACCTTCTCACCAAGGCAAACAGAAGCTTAGGTGCACCATGTACCTGGTTTGTCCTCAGGTTGGCAAAAGAGCTACTGGAAGCACACAAAGCATCATCCACTGCTTGATTCTTGTACTTCAGTAGCTCATTTTGATACCTGAAGTTATCACAGATCAGCTTAGGTGAGAATCTGTTTCTTAGAAGGGGAAATTACTTCCCTTAAATTCTTAACACAGTCAATAGTGGGGCAGGATAACCACCCCGTCCCATCCCTCTGAGCAAGTACAAAAACACAGGCAGTATTTCATCCTTTTAGTGACTTCTGAATCTACATTTAGCCACATCTTCAGGTCAAAAAAGCTGCTCCCATAAATTCACAATCAGCAGTCCTTTCTTTTATTATGCACAGAAATAAAAACACTTGAACAGTACTGTTAACAATATATATTCAATATTTAAGGCTGATGATAAAGACAGCATAAGAAAGAGGCAGATTGTTCTAGTAATTACATAAAATGCAGCAGTCATTTGACTCTGCAGTTGTAACCTTTATTTAGGCAAAGTCTTTCAGGATAGAGAGAATCTTCACACACAATGAGAATTTAGGAGGTATGCTGACAGTTTACATTTCCATTCTATTTTCTTTAATTTCTCATCTAAAACCACCTTATGTTGTTGAGATTATTTTTTTTAAATGTGATTTCCTTTGAAAGCTTTGCTAAAACATGCTAGTTAATTTTGGCAGCAGATGTAAACAAATCACTTCTCTTTCTGTTTTGGGTTGTTTTTTGTTTTTTGGGTTTTTTTAATGCCTCCATATATCTCCAAAACTACTGAACAGTCAAGACAAAAAAAAATTTAAAATCTGGTTTTGTTTTTACATTAGCCCTAACTGAATTACGGTTACCCCTTTCACCCCAGCCCCTGATGGACTTCCAATGAAGTCCCGTGGGGACCACATGAAACTCTGAGGACTTGGGACGAGGAGGACGAGAGAAGAGCCTCCAAGCCCAGAAGGGAAGCAGAGGAGGTTCAAGGCAGGTTGGTGGAGGGGCTCGATATTGCTCTTGAGTCCATCAGACCTTCCTTCGTCCACCTGAGATGTCCCCGAGGAGTGGCAGCGCTGCCAGGGATGTGCAACATGTCCTGCGTTGCAGGGACAAACAAAAGATGCTCAAAGCTGGAAGCGGAGCATGAGATTTTGGCTAAAAGCTGTTTGCCGGAGTTTCCTTGCAGAGACACTTGCTAACTGGACGTTTAATCAAGGGCTGGTCTCCCACACACTGCCTCTTGTTCATGGCTAATCCCGCAGCGAGGTCAAATAACGCCAGCTCTGAGTCACCACAGCCATCTCCAAGGCAACTGGCAGAATATACAGTGTAAACACATGGTTACAGATTCACTGTCGAGTTCAGGAAGGAGGAGGAGGACAAGGAGGAGGAAGAGCTGGGTTGAAATAAGTCATGCTCTTATTGAAATCTGAGTAAGTCGGTGCTGAAGCAAGACCGGACAAACGCACGGGTGTCAGCAGAGGGTATGAAAACAACTGTTTTCTCCCAGTTTCCTTCTCCCCATCACCCCCTTCACCACTGAAGTCATTTTTTTTTCCCCCTTTGTGTTGTTCCTCCAAAATGAGGCAGGAGGACAGCAGAGGCTGTTATCCATATGGTTCCTTACATCTGAGGTGTCACCTGTCCCCTCACACTGCGGCCCCAGACAGTGCGATCTGACAGAACGGGACTACCTTCCCGTGAGGTCTGTTAAATCTTTGCCTGATAAAAGCTGCATTTTGGGACAGCACCCATCCCTACATACATAGCATCCTACGCCACGAGGTCACAACTTTACCAGGTCTGATAAACAAACAAACAAAAAAAAGCCCATTATAAATAAGGGAAGAATGGAGAGCAATTCCCTCCTTTCCCTTTGAATCAGGGGCAGAGTCAGATTTCCCACTAACAGTGACAAAACCAGTGACTTAGCTGCATTTGGGGCCGGCAGGACAGGCAGAGCCCAAAGCATCGCCCTGGGTACCGCCTGGCATCCATCGCCCCAGCAGCATCCACCGCTGCTGCGAGGACATCGGGGCAGCGGTGACAGGAAAGCATCGCTCCTGCCCGGAAAAAAATCCCACCAAGCCAGCGGGTTCCCGCGCGGGCTGAAGGGGAACACTAAAGCTTTTCAGTTCCTTTCTTGGCGAGGCAGCCGCCGTCCCGAGGGGGAGGTGAGGTCATGGCCAGCGGGGCTGGCAGAGCCCCGTTCCCGCCACACAAAGGCAGGGAAGGAGTCACCCCCTCTGCCTCCTCCTCTGGGAGAAAATAAGCACTAATCTAATTGATTGCACGGGGCTCCAGTCGTCGGTAACCGTAAAAAGACTTCCCCTCCCAAGCCCACTGAACAACAACCCAAACAGCACAAAAAGAGGAGGAAATGAAAAAGATACGGTGGCCAACTTTTAGCTACTCATCACCAGGAGGAAAAAACGCCTTAGCCCAAATTTTACTTCACGTGCATCTCTCATAAAACAATACTTACGAGAGAGATAAAAAAGCAAACCCAAGAAATACTCTCCATCACTTAAGCTACTCTGTGTGTAGTGAAAATGCCAGGCGTTTTCTCACACCAGTATCGATGTGCTGCATAGCAACAAGTCAGAATGAAAGGTTAATGGTAAGGACCGCAGCCTGGAACACACTCATTCCCACGGTCCTGAAGTCACCAGAGGAAAATGCTGCGCTGATTTTTTTTTTGTTTTGTTTTGTTAACGGCATGAAGGCTTAAAAAGAATGGTGGGCTCTAACGTGAAAACCCATCCCGTCCGAACCGGTTGCGCTGGAGAGATGGCACCAAGCACCGTTCGCTTGCCCGCCACCGCAAGAGGTTCAGAAAATCTGTGCTGGCACTGATCTGCATGACAGGATTTAGGGGAAAAGGGCTGTATTGCACCAGGACTACAGCAGTGAACCTCACCAAGTTAAAGAGATCCTAAGCGCAGCTAGGACTTACTGGGGTGTACGCCATTTGGACAATAGCATCTCTTGCAAATGTGTCTTCCATTATCTTGCTCACATTTAAAAGCTTTTTACTATGCATAAATACAACAGTGTATTTTCTACAATAGAATTGCATAGTTAAACATTAAATAATTGCAATACCAGAATCATATAATTCTAAGGAAATCAAGCAAGAGATTTTTAAAAGGCAAAAGCAGTCATCCAAACCACACTTCATACAAATGTGTAAATGAGGAAAAAGACAACCAACAAAACTGCATTACTTTTTAGTCCACTTGAATTAACCAAATTTCATAGACTGATACACTGATATGCAAAGAAAGGCAATTATTTACCAGGAGAAATTGTCTCCAGACTCCCAGGATTAATCTTTCTCGTGCTTGTGCAGTGTTGGACAGTTGACCCAGTGAAGACCAAGTAAAAAACTACATCATCTTCAACTTTATCTTCCTCAGTCAGCTGCACTGTAATAACGGAGTCACCCTAGGAAAAAGGACAAGAAAAAAAGGTTAGGTTTACATTTGCATGAACCGCATTGTATAAAATGAAACTTCTCTACCTCCAAGGCTCCTGCTCCCTGTTCGCACACTCCTTTCACACGACTCGGGGCCCGTCCTAATTTTCAGATATGCGAGTCATCCTTAGCATGCCTCTCCGCATCACAGCCAGCCAACCAGCTAGGAAACACACTCAGCACAGCTCTGGGAAGAGCTATGTAAAAATCTCAAGGGTATATTCAAAATACCAACTTGATACGGTGGAATCACGCCAAGTCTGACAAACGTGAGCGCACACCCCACACAGGGTTTTTTATACACACACGCGCGCATATAGACACACACACACACATATCCCCCCAAATATGCATAGCTAAAACAACAGAACTGGGATAGTGGCTGAAAATTGCCTCTGTCTTCATAAATTTGAACAAGTTCCCTAATTCTTGCTTGAGCGCTCACACTTCCCCCATCCGAGCTAGCCACTGTGCTGACAGTTCCAGCGCAACCAACGTACTCACTGAACGCATCTCTCATCCGCAATCCATAAACACACAAAGATACTGAACATTAACATCCACTGAGATTTTTTCCACCATCATTACAAAAAAACAATAAATGTGGCTGTAGAGAGAACAGTAGCTCTTCTCACTCATCTATACGCTCATGCCTTGGTGAAAAGCTCTGTACATTATCAAAACCAGCAGTTCTTCAAGCCCTGAAAAGAAATGTCACGATCTGTTGGCTGAACACTCCTGCTTAGTTTTAGGGATGCTTTTTTTTCCAGTATATCAGTATATTCTATCATTTTGCTCATCTTTGCTAACAGGAAAAAATTACGTTCATAAAGGGCACACATGTTATCATAATTAACCCAGCAGAAGACACAGGAAATACACCCGAAATCCATACACCTGCATGGACAAGAACAGGAGCAATGTGCACCAACTTCAGTTTTCCACGGGGAAGGGAAAGGAAGGAAAGAGGGCGGCTTGCAGTTGCTGCAGCACTCAGCGAAGCGCGTTCATTTGATCTCGGCATACATCATTTATCTGCCCGAAGAATTACATAAACTGCGAGACACCGAGAACAACAGACTGTGACGTGACCTTCTGCCCCTTTTCTACCAAGATCAAAACCAGTCGCATGCCCCAGTTTTACACTGCAGCTGCATTCGCCATTCACCACCCCGTTGAGCACATGGTTAAGGCTGCAAACCTGGAAAAGATTATTATTATTATTTTTGAAGATTATGTAATTCTAATTTGCATATCCAATAGAATAGGCACGGCGTTTCATTTAAAACCTTCTCCTTGAGATCACTCAATTCACCCCTTCTCTTTGTCAAACACAGCTCTTGCAGACGAATCCCAGACTCCAAGCCCTCCTGTACACCCGTGCCACGTCAGCATCGCTTCCCGCGCTGCGTCTCACATCTCGCCCGCCGTTCTCCCTCATCTCAGCCCCCCCTGCACAGCCCAGCACCGCTTCCTCCTCCAAGTTCACGTCCAGTTCTCCTCCTCTGCTCTGGCCCGTCCGGTACCTCTTGCCAGGGGCAGGGTTGCACCTTGTTTTGATAGAAACGGCGTTTTGCAGTGCAGCACAACCAGCCCCTGGTCTTAAAACCAAATATATGGGTCAGCCTTATAACACACGGGAAAGAAAACCGCGAATTCAAAAGAGATAAATGGAGCAGTGAGTCTAGTTTGTATTTTCTGAGGTTGCAAAGTTCATAGAATCATAGAATGGTTTAGGTTGGAAAGGACCTTGAAGATCATCAAGTTCCAACCCCCCTGCCATGGCCAGGGACACCTCCCACCAGACCAGGTTGCCCAAGGCCACCTCCAGCCTGGCCTTGAACACCTCCAGGGATGGGGCCTGAACAACCTCTCCGGGCAACCTGTTCCAGTGCCTTACCACCCTCAAAGTGAAAAACTTCTTCCTAATGTTTGATCTAAACCTGCACTCTTCCAGTTTATAGCCATTCCCCCTCGTCCTGTCACTACGTGACCTCATAAGAAGTCCCTCCCCAGCTCTCCTGTAGGTCCCCTTTAGGTACTGGAAGGCCGCAATAAGATGTCCCCGGAGCCTTCTCTTCTCCAGGCTGAACAGCCCCAACTCTCTCAGCCTCTCCTTATAGAAGTGCTCCAGCCCTCGGATCATCAAGTTACATTTTAGGAAGGTCTCACATGTTAATATCAGAGCAGACTTCCAGCTGGGGAGAAAGGAACCATGTAGCAAAAGTATATATTGTATGTAGTCAGTGTTAAAATAAAAACAGGTGCAAAAAGAAATAAATCAAGCTTTAAATTCAAGCATGACCAGTTCACATGCTGAGTTGAAAACTAAATATTCCATTTCAAGCAAATGGATCCAGTTTTGAGCGGATGTTCAAAAACAGAAAAGCTGAAGTTTTAACCTACAGACCCTTTGTGCTTTGGTTTTTATATCCGTCTTTGTTCAAACTGTTCCTCCCTTAAGGCATGAACATACAAAGTACTTAAAAGGACTTAAAATGCAGGTGACATTTCAGGATGGTCATCAACGGGGCTGATTGTTTGAAGTGGTATCTGTTAAAGGACGTTTTTCTTTTATTTACCTCAGAAATCAAGTCCAGATAGTCCTGTTCCCGTGAAAGGAAAGCAAACCCGCCCAGAGTGCACATGAGAAGACACCTGTCTATCCATGCAAACTACTCACAGTTCAAGGAAATGCAATTTAATTCGCAGCGTTACTGCAAAAGTTTGTTTGTATGTTTAGTTATTGACGAAAAACGTGTAAATACATGTAAGAAAACTCAACAACAGAGGCTCCACATAACCTGAAATCTGTCTAAGCTGGGACTTAAAAAAAAGATAGCTGAATTTCTCCTATAGATACCTGACCCAATTTTGAAGGTGGCCCTGCTTTGGAGGGTGGTCAGACCAGACGACCTCCAGCAGTCCTTTCCAACCAAATTATTCAAGACTTCATATTTATATTTTAATTGTTTATTTCAGTTACTGCTTAAGTCTAGGGGGAGGACAAATTACCATCAGCTGATATCAATTTAAGAGGCTCTTCAGCTGTGTCTGAGTAGCACTTTATGGTAGGATGGTGTCCACCACGATGCTCCCTCCTCCTCCTCCTCCTCCTCTTCTGGAGAACCCTTCAGCAAAAGACTGACGGGGAATGCCTAACAGCCTTATAATGATTAATGAGCATCTTTGCTGCTTTTCTTTTTTTTTTTTTTTAAACTTGAAATTTTAAGTTATCTCCAAATATCTTCAGCAAGACCGATGATGTACCACTTAACCGCTGTGTGCTTCAGTGTACTTACAGGTGCCATCTGAGGTACCCCTTAGTTGTACCATGCCTGGTACAGCTCACTGTGCACGGTGGGATCCCAGAAGCAAAAGAGGAAAGCTCGAAATAAGAACGACCGTCCTCCTTCAACGCATATCTCTAGTTCCCAGTTTTTAATGATTTTGTTGCCCGCTGCCAATTTTAATTTGATTTTAAAAGGTTATATTCAAACAACGTATTTATTTGAGAAGGAAATAATGCACAGAACAAGCCCCTCGCTTTCCAACATTTTTGGAGTTAAAGAAAATCAGTTACAAATGCAGCCAAATTCCTCCAACCCACATAGAAGACTTTTCCAACAGCCCTATTGCATTCAGCCTCCAAAAACATTTTAATTGAAGTATGTTTACCTTTATTCATTTAATATTGTCCAAAAAATGTCATCTGTTCAGTATCACTGCCACACAAGGTGGTTATTATAACCCCTCTTTCATCCTGAATGGCTAGAAATGGGAGGCCAGCCTGCCAATATCCCTTTGGTGAAAGTACAGACAGATCAAAGTCCTTCTCTGGAATGCTCCAACAAATAAGAATAATTTAATTTCAAAACTAGTTTGGATCGACTAATATTTACTTGGCTTAAAGCCCATTGGAAATGAAAACATTCCATTTTGGTCCATTCATGAAAGAGGTCACCCTCTCCCTCACTCGGATCTGGAAATCTCTGGTTTCAGATAGCTGTAACGGGATGTAAAGAAGGTGGATGTGGCTCTTTCCCCTAATACATCCCCTCCCTCAAGCCAAAGGGAGAAAGTAGGTCTGCCTGGCCAAGGGACGGCTGCACTGGAAAAGCCAAGCCTGACCTCGGGCTTTAAACTACTATAAAACAATTCAGAACGGGATTTTAGAGCGGCAAATCTCTGAACCTTTGGCTTCGTTAAGGCAGCAGAAACGCAGTTCTCTCTAAAAACGCCCAAATGCTGTTACGAGGTCTAAAACCCCAAAACTAGACAGACAATGCACCTGTTTGTCAGTGTATTTTGCTGGCATTAGGACAAATCCACCTTTTTAGGTATTTGTTCTTCCCAATGCAGTTAAAGGCATGTGGATCGTGCGCAGGCAAAGCATGAGCAACTCAGAGTAATCACTTCTTCTTTCTCAGACTTGTTTCTGTGCCTGTTAAAACGACCTACCTTCAAAGGCTTTTTAAAAAAAAAAAAAAAAATAGATGACCTCAGCAATATTTGGAAGTGACAATGAAGCGAACAAAATCTTTAAGCTCAAAAGAATTAAGATCACTTATGTTATTAGCTCAAAAATACTATCCACTTTCCAAAAAGCAATAATTGTTTTAAGCATGTATAGACATCTTTCTTTTCCACTTCAGGCTCTGGAAATCTGTCTGGTTTTGGGGAAGCGGTCATCATTTGGGGCCACAAGGACAGCCCCAGCAAATGTAGAACTGAAGACCTCAACACGAAAATCATGACTTTATCTGGCAAAGGGGAGTTTCCCCTACGGGATATTGGTTCTACCAGCAACAGGTACATATTTCTACAACGGACTACAAAGGACAAAATATTCTTAGCATGTTGATGAACGGATTTTAAAGTTTCTTGAAAAAAAAAAAAAAGAAAAAAAAAAAGGGGGTAAACTGTATTTTTATAGCTGAAGCATGTGATTTCTAACCTGGTTTTCCCACCATAGTTCATACTGGGAATTCTGAAGCACGTTATCTAGCACCCACTCTGACCTCCCCGCACACACAGTCTAAAAATACTTACGAAAACGAAGCGTGTGTTAGATAGCAACGCTGAAGCACTTAAGCATCACTTTAGCATTCTGCTTTTAATGAGAAAACACTAACAACCAGTAACCCTGAATTTGTTCTATATAGAAAAGAAAAATTGCTGCTGACGACCATTGCCGTCTCGGGCTGCCTTTTCACGCAGGTAAAACCAAGCCAGTGCAATCCTACTGAGCAGAAAGTCTGTATGTGAGATGGGTTAGAGAGTCACAAGCGAGGAAACCTTCCATCCAATGTATTTCCTCCTACAGAGCTGTTGTAGATGGCGTTACGATGCTTTATTAAAAAGGCAGAATTAGGCACTGGATTAGATGAGCAAATGTAACCTGCCACTGCAACAAGTTTTGTTTTGTTTCCGCTATTCGTAACATGAATCAGATCCTTGTTGGGTCATTGCTTATTGCATTATGCTGGGACACAAAAGGAGAAATATGCTTTTGAAACAGATTTCTTTCTTCTCCTTTAGGAAGCTCTACATAGCTCGTAAGACAGCTGCACTGTATGCAGGAGGACAGCACAAAATCACAGTTGTGGTTTCTTCCTCCTCCTTCAAGGAATTCAGGCTCATTGGTACCTTTATTTATTCATGTTTAGATGGAGTTGGACTCACTGTTACCCCAGCTACTGCTCGGCACAGAGTACACAGGATGGGGCTGTAATCCCAGCAGAAGGCAAGTCCTTTCACATCCCTGCACTTTGCGTTTCCCCATCAATGAAATGGAAATCGTGGTTCAAACACACCAAGTTATTCTTCAGCCAAATGGCTTTTAAAGGAAAAGCTGGCTTTTCAATCATATTACATTTTCTTTGGAAAGTGCGCAGGACCGACAATAATTAAGTTAGACAAAATCAAAGGGAAAGTTGAGACAATTCCACCTCTAATTGAGAACTGCAGAATACTCTAGAAGCAGCTGGAGGATGGAGAAGGCAACTGCAAGGCAGCTTTAGAAAACGTAGCAGAAATCGTCCCGCAAGAAAACCAGCAAAACGTAATTGTTTAGATGCTCAATGATCCATCACCACCTACCTCTGCCAGGACAAGAGGTCAACAGCTAAACTTTTGCTCCCACAGAGCGTCCATCCCTGTCTCGGCTGAGTATCCTGGAAGATCCCTCTCATCTAAGGTTACTTCAGGTTGGTGAAAACATGCACAGAACCCCCTGGAGAACCATCTCTGGAAAGGACATCAGCAGCACATGGACACATGGACATCTCTGGGCAGAACAAAACCAGGCGCAGTCGCATGGGCTCCTGACTGCAAAAGCAGATGAGAGTTTGGGCAACTATTTTTACAGGAAACATGACGGTGCTCTCATCTCCTGGAATAACCCTTCTGATTGAGAAAGGCTTGGATCCCAGTTTTCCTCGGTCTACGTGCTCTGGCCAGTCAGCCACGACGTAAGCACCGAGCACCATCACCGCTGGCTCATAAAACCAAGGGATGCTCTTCTTTCATAGCAAGAAAATAACCTACGTCCGGCAAACTCTTCCAGGCTGCTATTCCCAGGTTAACAGAAGCAGGTGAGCATCTTAACTTAGAGGGGTGGGATCTGGGGATGGGTCCTACCTTCAGAACATCAAGCTGAGTCCCCTTCCCTCTCTGCCTTAGCAAGGGGTGAGTTTGTCAGTGGACCTCACTGTATCTTGAGTGCATTTTCTCTCATGGGAACATCATTAGGGCCTCTCAGTTGCCTCTTGGTACTTCACTCCCAGGTGCCGCAATGCTGCAGCTTGAAATGTCCATTCCCTTTTGCCGATGTGGGCATTTACCCTGCAAGCTCCCAGCACACGTATATAAAAGGAACGGACCAGGGGACGAGGTATCTGTTACAGCGAGATAACTGCAGTCATTACAGACATCCTCAATTTCACCAGTACGCGTTGACTCAGAGGAGCATTTAGGAGAAAAATCACATCAAACGCAGTTTATTTTGCAGAACTCCAGTCGCCAGAAACAAAGGTAGGGCGGTGAAATCTGTCTGAACATGAGCAGCTCTAGAAATCCCTCCTCGCCTGGAGATATCCCCCTTGATAAAGGCAGTGACCTGGGTCAGGAGCGTGGAAAAAGATGGATGTCGTTCGGCTGGAGTGTTGCAACCTCCTGCAGATAAAACCTCCAGGGCAAGACTCCAGAAATAAACAGAATGGAAAGCTGCCAATTTGGGGTTAGGTTTGGGTCCTTTTTCATAGTCAATGACTTTAAACTCCTTGATCTTAAAGGAGCATGAAGCAGAGATATATTTGTTTTCTCAAAATAAATAAATTTTAAAAAAATCACAAAGGAAGGCAACATGAACGACTCCAATGGCTTTAAAAAAAAAAGAAAAAAGAAAGAAAAAAATCAATCTCCAAAGATAACTTTAGTTCCCTTTTAAATTAACAGCAGTGCTATTATTTCTGCCAGCGAAAGGTTTCAGGTTAATGGCATGGATACTGAGCTCCTCTGTGATGAGAAAGGCAGATTTTGCAAAGCAGTCTCTTACCCGTAGGAAAATCCAACGGCAGGCTCTAACGTCTTGCCCACAGGCCACCAAAAGAGCAGAACGATGGTACAGGTTTTTCTGCCAGCCCACACTGCAACTCGAGGCGATACCTTCCGTATTGCACTAACGCTGCACCGAGCCAAGTGATCTCCTCTTCCAACGCTAGCCACAGAGCCACGACTGAAACGCTCACATATGTGCAAAATAACTTTCTTCCACCACTTTTCTTTCCCCAAAGGTGAAAAAGAATTTGGGTCAAAAGTAAGTTTAGCTTAGCACGCCAATGGACAGAAGACTGATGCAGGCCAAAGCAGGGAGAGTCAAGAGACCATTTAGTTAAGACTCTTTGGGTAGGAGTATGTGGGAAAACACGGACATCTATGCTAAAAAACCCTGAAGCATTGCTTCCAGCCCCATCCTGGCTCCCACACATCCATCCTGAGTGCGACCTGTGCTGCAAACACAGCACGGACACCCTCGACGTGCCTGTCTGCAGAGCCAGCATCGTTACGGCTGATTTATTAACGCAATCTCACAGCCATACCACATCCCAAACCAGCCCAGGTGCCTAAGCCTGCAGCAGGGTTTATTTGCAAAGAGATAAATGATTTAAGGAGAGCAAGGGGTGGATTTCTTACTCTGCACCAGTGTAAGCAATACAAACTCCTGCAGGAATGGGTACACTGGAAGAAATGTGTTATCAGTAGCCAACATCCTTTAACAGAGGATGTCTCTGTCCGACTCCAAATCAATCAGCTCAGAGATGAATCTTTATTGAGTGTCACGATGCTATTATAGGTATTACATACGTATTAATCCAGGCAGCTTTAAGGAGATCTCTACAGCCTGCCAACAGAAAATCCATCAAAGTAACATGATCTCGTTAGTGCTGAAAGAGACACATGATTTATCTTTATGGGTACATCTTCGTGACATACCGCTTCGCTGCACAGAGCCAGGCAGGTTATTAGATTGGGCTGTTAATAGCTAATTTAGCTGTATCACTGCCTTAGCACGGGGCTCCACATGCTCTGCACCACTTCTGTTACTGCCGCTTGTTCAGAGCATGTTTAATGCATCTGTTTGGTGCTGGACTGTGCCGTGCAGACAGTCTTCACGACACTAAGCAGCCAAGGTCATTTCTAATAATTTTTAGCACACAGGAAGACGTGATAAAATTAACAATAAAATTAACTGGAAAAAGGGGAAAAAAAACCCAAAGTAAAGGAGAAAAGTGGAAAGGAGGAGAAAAGCACCATTCAACCATTATGTATTATATGCAAATATCTCGGGAAGAACTGCTACGATACTTTTATTGTTTGGGTGAAATTGGCAATATGGTGAAGAAAACATTAATATCTTTTGTTGTTTATTCAGGCAGTTTAGTGTTAGCCAGACCACTCATTTAAAACATTGTGCGCTTGCTGTCCTCACTCGCCATGGCCCGTACTGCCCCAATAAGCACCTACTGACAGTAACCCCAATGCCCCTCCACAGCAAACCCCGCACAGCTCTGGTACAGGGAAGGGGAAGGTATGGAGAACCACAGGGAATAACACGCTGGGGGTTGCCCTCAACGCTATGCAATTCTCCACGTAACACCACTGCATGAACATGAAGACAAGAGACATGGGGAATCTCTCTATAGGAGAATACCCCCTCCAGTACCATCCAGTCTCCACAAGTACTGATCCTGCTATCAGAGGTTTTCAGAAATTGTGGAAAATAATCAATGCCTATGAAACATACCCAGATTGATGGGACTGTCTTGATCTGGCCTCATCCTAAAGCCTCTTCTGTTCTTCGCTACACTGTTAGAGAACCAAGCCAGATAATTTTATTACCAGCTGCCTGAGTGATTGATAGTATTTCCTGCTAATTACTCACGTAGCAATAACAACAAAATCGTAGTGCTTAGGAGGAATAGCAGGCAGTCTGAACGCATTCAGTGACTAATAGAAATTGAGCTATTCTCTTGGCATCAGAGAGGTGGAGAGAGTCACAATTCCTGGAAGATAAGTACATATGATGACACATTATTTGAAACAACCTCCTGTCACTGGAGTATTTTCACAAATAGCCTTGATGTATCTCAAAGGAAAAAAAAAAAAAAATCAGGTTTGAACACTAACATCCAAAAGTATAAGACAGTAGAAGGATGGTGTTTTCCTGGTACTTCAGCCTCCTCTACAGTACAGCAAAAGCCTCAAAGAGACAGAGCTCAGAGTGTGCTCCACAACGCTCATTTTCCTGCCAGCTGCAAAATATCCTTGCCAGTCTTTAAATATTTCACAACTACAGTACTCGGAGCTACTGTAGTGATTGAGGCACTTTTTAAAGTGCCACTTTTTGCCATTAGAGAATAGAAACTGTTATAACCATTATCTTCCTGAAAAAGTACCCCCCACACAACCACAACCACAAGGCAGATGAAACTTTTGCAATACTTTGAAGAAACACTTTGAACCAAAGAGAAATAAAAACGCAGGCCGCCCTGCAGAGCACCCAAAAGGTGTCCTGCAACAGAACTGCCGCTTGATGGCAGTGCACAGCATCGATCTTCGTACAGAACCATGAATCACAGTTTATTTTACTTTCTACTTGCGCACAATACGGCATCACTGTCCCCAGCGAGGCAGAGGACGAGCGTTTGCAGAGCCACCGCCTGCAGCACGGCCTTGAGAAGCAGACAGGAGGCACTGCAGGTAGAGCCCAGGAGATCTGGGAGTTTGTTTGAAAACATCACGCCTTCATCAAACTGACGTCTTCATAACCACTACTCTCACAGCAGCTCCGCTGTCAGAACTGCCTCGAGTCTAACAAAATGACTGTCAGCACTTCGTTATGGAAAATAAAGTGGGGACATGTATCTTGATTGATAAGATGGGAAATTTGTTTTGTCATTCTAAAGGTAACATAAGAGTATTTATACACTCTCTATATAAATGCATGCCACAGAGGAAGAGTAGTTGAAAAGTATTTTCATCCTCTTAAACACCAAGTCCTGATCTCCATTACTCTCCTCTTGAGAGGAGGGGAGGCAAAATTGCCAGCCAACACTGGGGAAGGGATGCAATCTCTCAGCGTCCTTCCCGGTACTAACCAGCTTATTGGCCACCACAAGAAATAAAGAACCCTAAATTCAGAGCCTAAGAGGTATTTGTCATTTCACCCCATTCTTACTAAAACTCTTCATGTGACAATGTAAGGATTCCTTTTGCATTTTCAGAAAACAGACTGAAGCAACCTAGTAACTCCCCAAAAGAGGGAATCAGTGTCTCCTCTGCTTTCCCACCCTTACCCCTGTACCAGCTCCAGCATCTTTCTTCTGGAAGTTGTATTATTTAAAGTTCACATGTCAGGCTGTGAAGCAGTGCTGACTTAAGGGCAGAATTTCAGACAAGTGCTCCAGACTTCGTTTAAGCTAGTCCATTTATTGTTTACCAGCTCATTTATACCCACAAAACAGGATCACAGAAGAAAAGATCAAATAGATAGTTATGGGAGGAGGACCAGCACCCAAATCACCAGCATCTTCAGTTTCAGATAATATGGAAGAAACATTGAGAAGGGGCCTCTCAGCTGCAATTTAGTCAATGGCTGAAAGAAGGCGATGCTGATGGTCAGGAGGCCTCTTCCAAGTTCTCCAGCCAAAGCCGCCTTCAGTAAATGCAAAGAAGTGCCCGTTTCACAAGTAGTCCTATACTAACATCACACAGATCTCATGAGCTAGCTTAAGAGGAGCAAGCCAAGTGAACAGTCTTGCGGTAACCCATCTGTGCAATCCAAACTCTTCTTTTGGGTACCCGGGAACGGGGAAGCAGCGGGCAGCTGGCCAGAGCAAGGTGCGGAGCTCAGGTGGCAGCTGCCAGACACCCATTTCAACAGAAGGGATGACTTCTTGCATGAAGTAGACCAGAATTTGGGAAGTGA